CCCTTTCCGACCTGCAATTGCGCAAGTTATGGGGAGCATGAAGTGAGTTCTGCAATTCTGAGCTCTGCTTCTTGTGGGAATCTTGCTTGGTCAGTGAAGGGTTTGCGGATACGTCCATGGCTGGGATGAAACGCACACGCTGCGCCTACTGCAATTGCGCAAGTTATGGGGAGTACAGTGTGAAGTGTCAACATGCTTTTCGCAGATGTTTTGGAACAACCCTTTCCGATCGCTTCCCCCGATAAGCATTGCGGTATGTTTGCTGAACATGTGCCTGATGCCGTGCTTTACTGCTGTCAGGAGATTTGCCTGCCGTGCCTTGAGTGGCGCTCGGCTGCTGCAGGTGGAGCCGACGCGTCTGGGTGCCACTGAAATTGTGTGGCTGGCCAATCTGTTCTGGACTTACGGAACCTGGCCTAAGACCGATTGGCTGTCTGTCTTCTGACCGACGAGAGGCGTTTTCCAGATGAGACAGTGGAAGCTATCAACAACTACTTGGAAGAGCACTGCGAAGCCCTTTGAACACTGTGTCGTCGGGAGGAGGGCCGTCCCCCATTTGTCGCAGCAGCTCAGGTGCAAAAGAGGTCGATGCAGTCGCCACCAGCTCAGAAGCCTGTTTGTGTTGCTAGCCGATATCTTGCACAGGGTGTGATGTGTCGGGAGTGGCTAAGCGCAAGTGCGACAAGCGACAGAACAGCCGGATCAGGTCGCAACGCTTCGCAAGTGTTCCTTTCGTCGCGAGCATGAGAGCTGGACGATGGAGGTGCCGCGAGATTTGAAGGCGTTGCTTTCTTTGGTGGATCTCTTGATCACCCAGGTCTCCATGAGTTGGAACCCAAAGGGGTGGCAAGTCTACTGCTACTACTTGCCGCAACAGGGAAAATGCATCTCTGCTATGTGAGCCGGTCAGATCGAGTAGTTGCGTTCGGGGAGATTGCCGCTCGCTTGATGCGCTCGGACTCAGCTGCCATGCAATGCAATTGGGGAAAGCCGCAGCAGAAGCAAGACCAGCAACGTGTGAACCATGCGGAGCACCACGGTACGCAGCAGCGCATGCAAGTAGTGCCATAGCGGACATCGACAATTGAGCAGATCTTCCAGAGTTCGCCGAACCCGAGTGCCGGGACCTGAGCAGGTAGAGACTAGCAAGAAATACCACGACGAGTTGTAGACAAGGTTGTTGCTCAATTCGAGGCATCCACAGTCGACTCTTCCTGTCACCGAGGGCCGATACTGAAAGTCTTTGAAGGCACCCTGCCGAAACAAGGTCTCAGTTGCATACATTCGACGGAACCGAGAAATTCTTCCCTCGGCTTCAAGAATTAAGAACACCTCCTGGCTCACAAGCTCCAGATGCAGTGATCCAGGTGGACATGGCATCGCTTGCTTTCCTGACTCCAGTCTTGGCAGGAGTGCACCAAGCTTGTTAGTACAGGTCATGTGCGTTGCAGGGCTCCCACGCGCAGCTCCCAGGACCCGGTCCAGCAGCTTCGTCTTCGGTGCCAGCGCAAAACGCACAGCGACAGCTACGGAGGCGGAAGAAGCTAAGCTGGTGACGAGTCATGAAGACGGGATCACGTTCAACCTGTCAGCGGCTGGTGAAGGCCCCGGCAAAGCTCCTTCACTGCAGCGTTGGGAGTACCCCTGGTCCTCATCGCAGTCAGGCGGCAGACTCGGCGGTCACAGAAGCAGAGCAGTGCAGAGCGATGTAGATTCGAGAAGCTGTTTTTGGCAAGCGGCTAGAAGGCAAAGATGCGGCAAGCGGGTCGCAAGACGGGCGACCGTCTTCATTGACGGAGTCGGCCTTGCCATGTTTCGGCCGGAACAGGGCTTCTGAAAGCTCTTGCAATTTCAGAAGCACGCCTCGCTGCAGGAAGCCGGGACGACTGGACTGCAGGCCATGGCGCAGTCAGATACTGTCTTCTGCATCTTCAACTGTCCTCTTGTGTTGATACTTGGAGCATGGGGATCTTTCGAGTAGGATGTGTAGGTAATTCGATGCAATGTTGGATAGAGGGGTGTGGAATCGTGTTATCGTATCGCGGGCTCTCATGGCCGGAGGTTCGAGAGCGCCTGGAGAAGCATCCCGAGATCCAAATCCTCAGCCTTGATGCTGACAAGCGCAAGGATGCGAGCTGCATGTGCAATGCTGCATTTGCCCTTCCCGGGGCTGCACCGTTTCGCAAGGTGCTAGAACCTGCATGCCTAAGCCTGAAGGACGAGGATGCTCGCCGCGAAGCCCTGCAGACGGCAGACGCAGCAGCACGCCCACTTCAGCTGGCCCTCGGCCGCAAGGCCCACAGAGAGCCCATGTTCTTGGCCAGGTGCTCTGCCTGCCTGACGATGCGGCAATAGCCGCAGTTGCATTAGCAGAGGGCCTGGGCCCAAAGGGTGAGCTCTGCATGGACGTGGCCATCTTGCACAGAACCCGAGGCTCGAAGACCGTCATCGTCGATGCCAGTACTGCGCACAGAGTATCGGATGGCCCAGGCCTCAGACATGGATAATGAGGGCCCAAACATCAGGGCCCTGATCAGGAAAGAAGAAGAAGACATGACAGGTTGTGTGGAGTGAAAGGGGTTTATCTGCTCGGAGGTTGGATGTATGGATTTCCGGAAATGAGCCCGTCGCAGGCCTTGTATCAGAAGCCTTTGAAAGTAGCTATCGGCAGTGTCCCCTCTTGCAGGCCGAGAGGATCTCTGCGTCCACTCGGATCGCGAACCCTGGCTGCTATCCGACAGGTCGCGGGACCACTCTTGGCAAAGCTCCAGACTCTCGTTGTGCACACTTTGCCTTGCCTTCTCGATCAAACGTATCCTCTGCTGGCAGGACAATGCAAATAGTGTCAGCCACAGGTATTGGAATCCCCGGGAAGATTCATGAACAGGGTCTGTCTCACCAAAACACCGTCGCTGAAACCCAACTCAGTGAACTCTTCAGAAGACACTCGTCATGGCCACATCTGTCATCGATGGCGCCCGTGATGCGATCACTGCCGGCGCAATCGGCGGCAAAGGAAAGGGCAAGATTCGGCCGCCGCCCCCTCCCAAAGCCAAAGCAAAGCCAAAGGCGGAGGGCTACACATCTCAGCCTCAGGCGCTCCAGACTTGCCTTTTGCAGCCCTCGTGTCGTCTCCTTGCCCGAAGCTACCCTGCAGGGCATGTATGATCAGCAATCGAAGATGCCTCCCCTGCCAAAGCCTGCAGCTGACGAGGTGCAGCCGGATGAAAGGAATCGAACCTCTTTTTTTTTAAAAGAAATCGCGGCCGTCAGTCCATCAGGCACTTGTCAGGATCGCCAAGCTGCAGTGTGACGACGGCTCGTGGCGTCTTTCCGATGAGCTTGCCACAGCGCCTCTCGGTCGCATTGCAAGCACTTTGCTGCATTGTTGGTTCAGCGCATACTCCTCCTGTAGCACAGGCTGGGACTGTATCCCTCTTCACTGGCTTTGTCGCCAACACCGGCAGCTTCCGTTCCGAGTTGGGACCGCCTGGTCGCCACATCCACGGCCAGACAGGCAAGAATGTTCAATTGCTTTCTTGCACTGAGGGCAAAGCGTTCACCCCAGGCCTTGGAGCGGTGCCGCTCCATTCTGAACGCGCAGGGACGTGACCGCGACGAAACACTGGAGGTGCTCCAAGACGAAATGAAAAGAGGTGTGCGCCTCATAAGGGGGGCCACTCCTGTCCAGGTGGCCGGTGCGGCGTCCGTCCTGGGCGCGAAGCTGCTGGACGCCGCCATTGAATATTTGGATGCCAGGTGGCAGGAGGCCAGCTACGACTTGCAGATCGAGTCTTGGTTGTGTTCACTCTCCGATGATTGTCGAATGCAGCTTTGTGCGGCAGGTTTCGGAGGCGAAGCACCTGCTCCATCTTTATGCTCGTCAGCGGCATGGCCTGGACAGGGACATTACGAAGCTGCTTGACCAGCAGCTGCCAAGACCCGACTGGCAGGTCAGGGCCGAACCGAGCTGCGCATCGCTGTGCGGTCGTGCATCGTTTTTCCATGCTTTTCGACTCACTGCAAGGCGCAGCTGAAGGCCAAGATGTCGGTGCAGAAGACCTGTAACTCGGGCCTTCAATTCAGCTCCAGGCCTATGTCCATCCGTAGAGGCTTTTGTGCGTCGAAGGCAACGTAGGGAAGGAACTCTTGTCGCGCCCGAGGCGAGGTCTGCGGAAGCACCTACACGGCAGCCGTGCCAAGACTCGTTTAGCTCTCACCCGAATTGCAGAAATTCCTCCCGGTTTAGTGAAGCTTGACTTCGGGATCATATCGTTCGGCCGGAATGCAGGACAAACGAGTCAAAGGCGTTGGGATTTTTTCGACGTTCCAAGGAGTTCCGAGAGCATCGCAAGCTTGCTTGATTTGGGCTCCCGAAATCCTTGGAGCTGCATCCCACCAGCAAAAGGTTAAAGGCTCCTGGCGTAGATGCTTGAAGCCGGGAAGGGTGGGTTCTGTGACTCGAGTTGCCTAAGAGATCATTCCGGTACCCGCCAGGTTGCAAAATGCTTGGCATGCTTTCCACCTGAGCGCCCTGCCGAGCCCGAGTCTTGCCTGAAATTTGTACATCCGCGACTCGAAATTCCTCGGACGCAGCTCTGCAACTGTCGGACTGGCGAGGAAGGACGAAAGGAAGACGGCTTGCACGATTGGCAGAAGCTGTCCTCCGCTCCGCTCAGTGCGACCTTGGACTGGTCACCTGAAGGACTCCGCCTTTCCATTCTGCAACTTCTCTTGCAGGGTTTTGGCGTGCATTGCGCTGATCATTCCTGATTGTCCCTTGGTGAGGCATCAAGTCTTGCGAAGGTGGATCTGGTGGAGTCGCCTTCTTCAAGCTTCCTCAGGGTGTGGTTGTAGTGAAGCCGCAGAGCCCTAGCTGCCAATTCTGCTAGCACCGCACCGACCAATCGCATCGGCTTGGGTTTTGCTGATGGCAAGGAAAATGATGGCCGCTGCGGAATTTCTGGCTATTCAGGCAGTTGAGCTGCACTTGGTGAACCGAAGTTCTCAGGTGAAGAAAAACTTCCATGGTTGCTTCCTGTAGGGTAGGTGTGCTTGTAGGTGTAGATGAGACGGGAGGGGAGGAGCAACGAGAGTCAATGCACCTGAACTTCAACCATGTGGTTTCTAGCCTCATGTCAGTTGAGGGTTTTGAGTAGTATAGAGGTGAAATCTTAGGACTTCTTGTATGCATGCGGCTTCAGAATTGAATACGTTGTCCACCCGCCTCCTCCTTATGATCACCATGGAATCAGCACCATCAAATGTCATCAGTCTCGCCACCATCACTGTCATCAGCAATGGTCATCCGCTGAGGAGTGTGCAGATGCACGGATGTATGTGTTTGGTCATGTTTCGATGTATGATGCGTATGCATGCATGTACTTGCACCCTGTGAATCAGGAAGAAAAGGAGTAAGTACAAAGAGTAGGGAAGTGACTGTCTACCTCGTCCCTTCATCTACTACAAAAGTTTCTATCTGCCTGTCTGTCTGTCAGTCTGTCTATGTATAGGTAGGTGTCTTTTCATACATACATACATACATACATACATACATACATACATACATACATACATACACACATACATACATACATACATACATACGTACATACATACATACATACATACATACGTACATACTTACGTACGTATATAGTGGTCGTAAGTATGCATGCATGTATCTGAGCCACATAAAGGATGCAGTCGTATACATCTCCATGTCTATGGGTGCATGGCACATATCGCACATCTACATGGAGGCATGCGCATTTGATTTGCACATGCGCTTCGCCCAAATGCTGCAGGTAGCTAAAACCATTGCAGTCCCTGTGGCGGACATCCGATCCTGCGCCGAATCTAGTCAGACGCTTTGTCATCAGTTTGTTTCGTCGAGTTGTAGACCTTCTGCACTGACTGTGCAAGGACAACATGCCGGCTCGATGCCATGTGAAGTGTACCCACCGCCTGTCCTTGCTTCGGAGGGCTTCGGAGTGACTCCCACACAGGAGTGGTGCGCTGGGTGGATGCAGAATATGCAGCGATTCGTGACTTTCTCCGGAGCCTCGGCCTTCGCCGTCGTAGTTGTTATAGTAGTAGTAGTAGTAGTAGTTGTTGTTGTTGCTGTTGCTGTTGCTGTTGCTGTTGCTGTTGCTGTTGCTGGTGCTGCCGCTGCTGCTGCAGCTGCCGCTGCTGTTGTTGTTGCTAGTGCTGGTGCGCTGGTGCGCTGGTGCGCTGGTGCGCTGGTGCGCTGGTGCGCTGGTGCGCTGGTGCGCTGGTGCGCTGGTGCGCTGTTGCTGTTGCTGTTGCTGTTGCTGTTGCTGTCGCTGTCGCTGTTGCTGTTGCTGTTGCTGGTGTTGTTGCTGTTGTTGTTGCTGTTGTTTGCAAGCCTCTCGGCTCAGGCGAGGTCAGGCTAGTACAGTCCGNNCTCGCCATGGCAGCACTTGCCAGTGCGTGAGTTGCCCCGGTCCCAAGTCCGGGGGGGAGCGCTCAGTAGTCACAGATACTCGATAGCTCCCAGAGGTGAGGGTTGTCGGCAAGCGAAGCCGGCGGGAGTCATGTTCAATATGAGCATGGCGAAACAGCACAGCGATTCGACCAACATCAGATCGAAGCGCCCCAAAGGGGAGGGCAAGAGATCATACCAAAGGGCACTAAGGCAAGCAGAGAAGACTGGAAGCACAAAATACAAAGGGAAGATTTTGACTCTTTCGGAGCTGGGAGGTACTCCGGCCATCACACAGTCTGACCGCAAAAACAACAGCTGTAGACTTCCCAGCTATCAGGAGAATAAGGCGATTGCATATCTTTCTTGGAACGCAGGTTCACTCACCACCGCAGTTTGGGAAGAGTTATTCGCCCTTCTTGAGACTGATGCTTACGCTGAGACCAAGTTGGTCATGATACAGGAGACACATTGGCGAGGCAGCTGGCAGTTTAGCAAAGGGCAGTGGCACGTAATCAGCTCCGGCTTCCACGAAGAACAAGGAGCCGGAGTTCTGATAATGGTTCACAACTCTCTCTGCGGATCTCAGATTTAATGAGGTCTTGCCAGGGCGCCTCTTGCAAGTCAGGATCCCAGGTTCTGATACCTCAATAGATGTAATCTCGTTCTATCAATTCGCGTGGCGCTCGAAGCAAACGGTCAGCCAAAATAAGGAGCAACGACATGCAGCTTTTCAGAAGCTACATCAGACCATCAGCTCCCTTCCGCAGAGGAACACTCTCATTGTAGCAGGGGATTTCAACATGTCTCTCAGAACAGATCGTAAGCATGTTGGCCCCTGCACAGCCTCGGTTAGTCGGCTGGGGCACCCCGGGTCTAAGGACCTTCAACGAATGCTGGAACAGCATCAACTAGTTGCGGCTAACACTTGGTCGGTCAGAAAGCCAGCTACGCATGTTCAGGGAAACTCCGTGAGTCAGATAGACTATGTTCTAGTACGACGATCTCAATCACAAGGCCCAGGGAAGATTTGCTCTCCCGACCAGCAGTTTGCTATTGCGAACTGGAGAAAAGGTAGCCGTCACTTCCCTCTCAGAGGCAAAATCATACATAGCAGGAGATACTCCACTACAGCTCGGAAGCCTTATGACCAAGACCGCATGCAGAACTGTTACAGGCTTAACGAAGCCAGCATTCAGCGCTACACAGACCGGGTTGACACAGAGCTGGAGAGGAAGGCTCCGTCTTGGGAAGGACTGCGTGACGCCATGGCTTCAGCCCTAGTCTCGGAATTCCCCAAACACCGCTCCAGGCAAGCCACAGGGCAGTAGATGGGGTCTGGGAGCAACGTCGAATTCTGCGCAATCTCCCGATCACGCTCATAGCCATCTCTGACTGGCACGTAAAGCTCAAGCTGCGGGTTGTCTGGTGCAACTGGACCTCCCTGGCGAGACAAAGCTCGTCAGCCAGGCAGGCTAAGCAGCGCAAGTTTGCGAACAGACAAGCTCTAATAGACGAGTAGCTTAGCCAGGCAGAACACAAGGCGTCAAAGGATGGCAGCCACTCACTTTTCAAGGTAATTAGATCCTTCAAGCGAGGTCGCCCCACCGAAAGAGTTCAACTCAGGGACTCCCAGGGCCGGTTTTTGACATCTACTGAGGAACGAAAGGCACTTGAGGAGTACTCTATGGACTTGTTTGGGAAGGGTGACGACTTCCAGTTGAGTGGCCTGACAGGTCCCCTCAACATCACCTCAACAGAAGTGAGGACGCAGCTCAACTCCATCAAGGTCGGGAAAGCAGTTCCCAAGGATTGCCCTCCTGTCGTCGCATGGAGATCCCTCGGCCCAACTGCCATTCAGCGCATTGTCGAGCTGTTGAACGATGAGGTGCAGCACCAGGCCCTAGATGCCAGAATCACCAGCTCCTGCATCTCGTGGCTGCCCAAACCGCCAAAAAAGCCAGACAAGCCTGCATCACTCCGTCCGATCGGAGTTATTGCACCCGAAGGCAAAATTCTAGCGGGCCTTCTACGACACCGCCTTAAATCTTCCTTAAAAGAGGCTATGTCGGGTGTGTCACAGTTCGGCTTTGTCCCAGGAAGAGGCGATCTGTAAAGCTCTCACCCGCATAGATGAAGCCAGGCTCCGATCGATTCAGTTTCAGCGGCTGGCGGCGGGACAGGGCTATAAAGGGTTGGGGCTGAAAGGCAGCCTCACACTCAGTGTTGACATGAGCAAGGCCTTTGACATGGTAGACCGCAGGCGGCTCAGAGAGGCGCTTGAGGTCGCCTCCGCTGAACCTCTGTTGATAGAGGTGGTTGGCCAACTGCACATCCAGGCCCTCTACGAAATGACATCCAGCGACGCCTCGTTTAGTGTCGCAGCCAGACGGGGCATCAAGCAATGTTGCAAGCTAGCTCCGTCACTGTTTGCATTTGCTACCTGCCTCCTTTTTATAAGAAGCTAGGTGAGCATTGTGATCCGGAAAGGCTAGATCACACACTCACCATGTATGCTGACGACACCCTTCTACAGCTCCGATTTAGAGGAGCTACAGGAAGGGCTTAAACTGCGATCTGCTTCTTGACCAGCTGACGGAACTAGGCTTCAAGGTCAATCCAGAAAAGTCAGCTCTTCTACTCCAGCTCCATGGAGGGTCAGCTCAACAAACCCGAGCACTGCTCGTACATACTAAGGATGGGGTTAAGTATGTGCAGCTTCCCTCTGGCAGGCTCACTGCCTCCAAGAAACAGGTTCCGTACCTTGGGGGTGGTCCTTTCGTATCAGACGATACGGCGTCGCTTGGCAGCTAGCAAGCTCCGGCGTGATTCTAGCTAGTCCACAAACCCGAAGGGGCTCACGCAGTGCCCCTAGGCTGTCAATGTTGACTGCCCAGTGCAGGATCTGAAGCACGGAGTTTGCATAGGTGCCGGCGCGCCTATCTGGGATTGCCGCTGTGTGTTGGTGGACTGTGAGGATGTTGCTACGTCCGTGGGAGGCTTGGCCTCGTACGACCGTGGTCGTAAGTCCAGATCTCGTCTGCTGGCTTCTTGAAGAACGTGTGTTTGAAGCAGAGGGACACACTGCCCCGCATGCCGTCGGTTCAGATGTGCTTGACTGCTTTATTGCCTGCCAAGGCTTGTCCGCAGAGGGCGCAGCTTTCCATCAACCGTGCGTGCAATGCCGAACTGGTGGCTGCTGCGGGGTCCAAAAGGGATTGCTGCAACAGTTCGTTGCGGTCTTGGCGACCATCCGTTTGAAGCGAATCGGAGGATTGCCTCAGTAGCGTATGTACCTGCGGGCTGGTGGATAAAGGCCCGGCCGCATGCCAGACATTCCGCTGAGCCTGTCCGGGAATGCTGGATAGGATCAAATTTCGGTTCCTTGGGAATGAGCTGCTGTGCGGGTGTTGCTTCTGGGAGTGTCTCCGCAGAGCACCCGTGCCAATGAAGATTGCTCCGCAGTCATTGCAGGTAAGCAAGGTTTCCTGATGTTCCGCCCTCTCCCTTCCGACTCCCTTCAGCTGGCCTATGGTGGTTTCGAGCTGCTGAGCGCGAGGCACGTACATGGAGGATAACTTGGAGTCTTCATTAGCGTCCTGCCTTCTGATGAATCGGCGAAGAATGGCGAAGGCGTTCCAGTATCTGAGTTTTGGCGGTTTTCACCCCTTGAGGCCTGAGCGGTTCTTGGCTTGCCTCATGTGTGTCCTGGGAGTAACTCCTCAGAACGAATCGCAGCTGATAGATCATGTGAGACTCGAGAGCAGATAGACCCTGCCCGGTAAGCCCACTACATGCCGACCATATATCGCCGAGGCCCAGGCTGTAATTCTCCAGATGGACTTGCGACGTCGCTCTGTCACTGAGCGCGGTCCTGACTGCATGAGCTACCTCCTTCAATGCAGCCTCGCACCCCTCCCTAGAACCCGCCACGAGAGGGTGGACATTCAACGGCAGACAGCATGATGCCGCTGAGTTCCTCACGAAGATTCTCTTTAATCTCCATCCTCTAGACCTGGGTACCTGGGAGACACGAACCCCAATTGAGGCTGGATTCATAGTAGACGAGGAAGGCACCGCTCCTATCTTCCTAGATGTTTGAGATTAAAGGGACACTGCAGAGCATGTTGCAGGAGTGGAGCCAACAAGATCGAACTCACGCTATCCTGCGCCCGGCCAGGTACGTCTGTCTTGCACTTCCGCGGTATACATCCAGGCTCAAGAACACGGAGGTGGTGCTGCTACAGGAACACCTCCACCTTCCGCTCTTCGAGGGAGTTGATCTAGCGGTAGCGTGGGAACCTTTCCAACTAAGGTCTGGAATCATCCACCTCAGCGGCAGGATAGGTTAGCAAGTCCGGGAGGAGTTACTCCCTATGGCATTGCAGACACTGTCTCGCAACAGCACCATGACAGATAGTTCGTCAAAACGAGGTGAGGTCCCTGGTAATTCTGAAAAAAACTCTCCCAGAAACGTCAAAAAGGAGGAGCAGCTCCCCTCACCAAAGGCCAAGGAAAAGGAAAAGGAGGTGGACAACGCCGCAAGGATGGTGGCAGATCATCAGGCACCAAAGCTCCACATAGTGGGGAAGCTGACAATATGCTTGGCGGAGGAGTCACTCCCCGCTAGGGTCTCGAGGAGAAACTCCCGAGTCCAGTAGTCAGTCAGATTTGTTTGCAATGTCTTGTGTCTTGCGCCGTCCTAGCCCGCAGCAGAGCACCGAGATGAGGAAGTCTGTCACGTACCGACTAGTGGTGGAGAAACTCCCTGCTCTTCTTGCCTTTTTGATAAGACGCTCAGCCGGGTAAAAACGTGAAGACCGGTCACGGACAAGGAGGCAGTGGAGAAACTCCCCGAACCTCCCTCCAAAGAATGAGGAGTTACTCCCTGACTTTGAATCGGCAATGAAGTCTCCAACAATCAGCAAGCTCGGTCTCATCGCGCATATCTTAAGACCTCAGTACATCGTAATTCTCAGCTTGCACAGGGCGTGCAGAGTCAGACCAAAGTGATAGCCGAAGGAGTTACTCCTCGTGAGAAGAAAGCGCATCCAGGAGGAGCTACGCCCCTCAAGAAGTCCTCTCTATGCTTGGTCAATCGTTCGCCAAGCGAGGTATAGTTTCACACCAACTCGAGGACTTCTCCCGCTGCGAGTGAACGAATGCTGTTGTTTGCCGTCAATGCGTTGCTGACAGGCACTTTGTCACGCAGTGTCGAGTCTATGGCAGTCTATGGTAGGTATCGGGTCGTTCTGTATGCCACAACACTAACTCAGCCGGGATTGGCTTCGCCACAAAACAGGAGTGCTCCTCCAGGGAAGGAGCAGGACTTGACCATGCTGGCCCTCAGATTGTGGCCCAGCGTGCAAGTTGACATGGGCTGTGGGCTTTTGTGAAACTAAACTATCCGAACTATCCGCATGCAGGCAGCTGCATGATTCGGAGTTCTTTGGCATTCTGGCTGCTTGGACTGTGGGTAGCAGGCTTAGTGGTAATTTTTTTATTTTCTTAGATGTAAGGTTTTTCTCCGAAATGTAACTTTTTCCTACTGAGCCCACCTACCCCACAAACCCCACCTAGCCCACCTGCCACTACCCCACCTGCCCCGCCTACCCCACCTACCCCCACTACCCCATCTACCGCACTCAGCCCCAACCAACCCGGTGTGCGTGTGGCCAAGACGAAAACCCTAACGAGTTAATACCCGAGACGAAAACCTTAAAGAGTGAATTCCAAGACGAGTGAATCCAGCAGGAACCTTTTCCCGAAGACGAAAACCTTAAGGAGTGAATCCAGCAGGAACGTTTGACCGAAGACGAAACCCCAAGGAGTAAATCCAGCAGAAAACTTTAACCCAAGACGGAAACCCTAAGGAGTGAATCGAGCAGGAACCTTTTCCCGAAGACGAAAACCTTAAGGAGTGAGTTCAGCACGAACTCTTGGCCGAAGACGAAAACTGTAAGGAGCGAATTCAGCAGGATCCCGTGACCCAAAACGAAAACCCTAAGGAGTGAATCCAGCAGGAAACTTTAACCCAAAACAAAAACCCTTAGGAATTTCCCGAAGACGAAAGCCCTAAGGAGTGAATACCCGAGCCGAAAATCTTAAAGAGTGAATACCCAAGGCCAAAACCCTAAGGAGTGAATCCAGCAGGAACCTTTTTCCGAAGACGAAATCACGAAGGAGTGAATTCAGCAGGAACGCTTGACCGAAGCCGACAACCCTCAGGAGTGAAACCAGCAGGAAACTTTGACCGAAGAGGAGTACCTTTCCTGCTAAATCCAGCAGGAAGCTGTAACCGAAAACGAAAACCCTAAGGAGTGAATAGGCGAAGCCCTACGCATTGAATCCAGCAGACGAAAGGCCTAAGGAGTGAATACCCAAGACGAAATTATTAAGGAGTGAATTCCGAAGGCGCAAACCCTTCGGAGTGAAAAAGGTGAAAAGTTAAATCTGAGAGAAAAAAAGTTACAACCAAGATGCTTGTTTTGCAACCATCTGCAGAGATTTGCTGTATTCGGAGCCAAGAAAAATTACAACTAAGATTTTACTGAAATAGCCGAAAGTTACATCTAAGAAAAAAATACAAGTAATGTTCTACCGGACTGTGCCTCCAGAGTGCAGTGAAGATAGAGCATGTGTTTCCGAGCGACTATTCTAAGGAGTTCATCCCTGGCATCGGGGTCCAGGGTCAAGAACTGCATGAGCGACTGGAAGAATCTCGGCGCATAAACGAAGAGCAAAAGAGACAGGCGAAGGTTCTTGTGCGAAGCCAGTTCAGGCCATGCCGCCTGAGAGATTGGATTCCTTTTGGTATCAGGCAATGGCCGGGGAATTTGGAGACTGTGGCATATGCACTGCCAAGTGGTACGTCGAAGTAGAGGTGAATCTGGCTGGAAGAACAAGCATTCAAGTCGGTTCAAATGTTCTCAGATAAACACGTCTTGTTAAGCTGGCTTCAAGCACGTTTAATCACTAGACTGTATGGCGCTCTCTACTTGGATGCTCAGAGGTCGTTGTTTTCTAGGGGACTTGGCTTGGCCTTTGTGTTGGTGCGGCTCGGCTTGGCCTGGTCTGATCTAAGAATATTGGAATGTGCACGTCCTTTTTGATTGAAATCCAGAGTTATGAAGATTAAAAGGTTCTGTGACACTCCGTCGAAAATGCACGTAAACCCCCACAAATCCAGCGGGGTGCGGTGACCGCCACAAATGCCCGAGTCGTTCTCTGTGATCTTTCGCATCACTGTTGTCAGCCATTACTGCCTCCAGGCAGCTCGAAAGTGGGTGGGGGCTGCAACGTGAAACCAAAACATTGCACAAGATCGAGCACGAACGATTTTGGATCACGGCATGCTCACGGGAACTAGGCCAAAGGGAGCCACCAGTAGTGTCGGACGACGTAGAAAGCTTAGTGCCCACTGTGAACGCGGACTAGTCAACCCATGCCGAAACGCTAGCGCATTGTTTATACCCCAAATCACACCCGAGACGGCAAAAGCTAAGTCAAGCCAAGCCGCCCCAAATAGCCAGCCGCACCTAAGAAGAAAAGCTCCGCAGCATGTTCAACGCTTGGCTTTTCCTTCCGTGATGTTATTTTAATGCGGGGAAGGTTGGAGAGATTGTTGCCTTCGATGCCCTCATCAACAACCTTGATCGTGTCCCGCTTGTTTGGGACAACGAGGGTCGGCGCCTCATTGGCTAGGGTTGCTTTCTGGAAGAACCTCGCGGTGACGACTTGAACTTAGGCAACACTGCTAACTTGATGCTGCGGGAGGACAATGAAGGAGTTGCAGTGGTAGGCATAGACCAAGCCGTGACTGCTATCGTTGCTGAAGGCCATGGCGATTGAAGCAGAGTTCTGCTCTGGGCCGTTTCCTGTGAATGCTGATCAGCCCTGCAGGTCCGGGCCGAGAACGATACGCAGCTCGGCTGCGGGTCTTGGCCGAAGGCGTCTTCACGGGGTCCTGGAAGGAGGAGGCGTCGCAGGCCGTGCCTTGCCGTGACCGAATTGGACGACGGCGCCTCTCGCAGTTTGCACAGGTACTGCCAAGCACGACTCGCGGAGGGACATGGTCGATTTGCAGTGGCATGGCACACGTCTCTGAGTGCTTCCAGCGCCCAACTTGCATCTGCGGAGTTCGACGACGAAAATGAGACAAAATGCATGTTTTCTCCTGTCCAGAAGAGAAAAGAAGGTTGTGCTGCGGTGCAACCGTCCATTGGGAAGCTTTCATGGCCGGCCTTCGATTCCGGCTGAATCACATCGCAGACCTGGCAGATGCAGCTCGCATGCACATGTTGCAAGTTTCAGACTTTGAGTGAAACTTGCAGCTTCCCTTCGACTCGTTGTAAAAAGCAAGTCCTGTTAAAATCATGGATCCCGACAACATGTCCAAGAAGCGAAAACAGCAAGTACAACGATAAGGCGAAGGAGTGTTCAAGAAATGCGATTGAAAACTGAAATGTGGAAGCCGCAGGAACTCCTCGCTCTCCATCAAAAGGCTCCTGCGCCTGCCCTGCCCGTGTGAAGCGCGCCACCACCACCACATCCGTGCCCCACCCTGCCCTGCCCCGGTTCCGGACCGGCAACGCGCCCTCCCAATTTTGCGGCACTTTTGCCTGACACCGACGACCGCCAACCACCTTGTCTGTTAGTTAGTTAGTTTGCACTTTGGTTCACTTGTTTCCAATTTTTGTTCGATGTTGTTTACCTTGTTTAACATGTTTTTTCTAATTTTGGAAGGGAAGGGCAGAGCTGGGGCAGGGCTGGGGCAGGGCTGGGGCAGGGCTGGGCGGACCAGAGGTTGAGGTGGGGCCGGGGCGGGGCAGGCCGAGACTGGGCCGGGGCTGCTTCGGGGAAAGCTGTAGGCTGTAGCCTAAAGCCGAAGCCTAGGCATTTTCTGTAGAGTCTCTGTTTCGACTGATCGCATTTGGCCGTGGCGTTGTCTTGTCTTTCGGAAATTATCGGATATAGGCTTTTCGGATCACATTCGAGATTTTTTCTTTTTTCGGATTTACGTTTTGTCGGATGCAAAACCTCACTTTTGGTAGTTTGCTTTCTTCCGGCTTTTTTGGGATTTGACTGCATCAATGCTTCATAAGGGATTGCATTTCATGAGGGTAATATTTCAGAACATCAGAAACTCCTGCCCTGACACAACACACACTGTTTTTGCTCAGGACGGCTCGCTGGGCACGGCGCTGGATGAAGCCACCGCCGTAGCCGACCAGGCGAGTGCGGGCCTGCCTACACAGTCAGCGACTGCCACTTAGCTCCACGCTGACTGTTCATTCGTAGAAGAACGTCTGCAATATAGGGTGTGTGTGTGTATATATATGATGTGTATATGTACATGTGTATGTACATGTGTGCTGGAAAATCCACAATCCGAGCCCTCTATGGCCTCCGTAGTCCGCACATACTGCGTCTAGAGTCGGAGCCGCGTATAACCGTACACCTCGATCGCGGATTCAATCCTGGTCGAACCATGGCCAGAGAGCGGTTGAGCATGCCTACCAGAGAGAAAGGGTGCTGCCTTGCAAGTTTAAGACCATTCTTGTGCCATTATTGTGTCAGTATTGTGTCATTCTGCTGTTGCTATGCATGCCATTGAGTGCAGTTGCTGCTGTTGCAGTGCTGCAGCTGCTGTTGCAGAGCAACTTGCTGTTGCAGTGTAGTAGACGTTGAAGCTGCAGTGTTGCTGCTGCAGTTCAGGTGCGGCTGTTGCAGTGCAGTTTCGTCGTTGCTGCAGTTGCAGTTTCGTAGCTGCAGTGCCAGTTTTTCAGTTTCGTTGCATGTAGGTCAATGTAGGTATGTGTACATATACCCAAACATGTGTATACAGAATTAGTCTTAGTGTAATATAGGAGAATGTAGTATTGCATAATACAGCAGAGTATAACATAGTATGATGACAAATATCATATAATATGATGTATATATATATAT